AGATATAACTATCCTCATAACGTTTTCATAACAAGATGTTGATGCTGTATTTCTGAGTGTTTAAATGCTATTAGGGAGTTTTCTCATATTTTTCAGCAGTTATAATAATTAAAAATCATTTCTATTTCCTAGTTATGCATTTGAAGACAATTTGTTTGAACTTAATAAGACTGAAACTTAGTGAGTAAACATCCAAACACTAGAACACTGCTGCTGGTGGTGGTGGTTATGGGCCGTAGAGTCAGTTCCAACTCACAGCAAACCTGCATAGAGTTTCCAAGGCTGTAAATCTCGACAGGGGCAGAAAGCCTCATCTTTCTCTCATAATAGTTTTGAACTGCTGAGCTTGAGGTTAGTAGGTCGACTCCTAATGGAATACTACTCAGCGTTAAAAAGGATCAAATTACTTGGATGAACTCTGAAGCCATTATGCTTAGGGCAAGTGCTACTCTCATAAGGTGTCATGCTGTATGGTTCCACTACTTCCTCTTCTGTGTCACTCCTCTGGTGTCTCAGGTTTTGGTCCCTGAAGGCTCGATAATCAGGGATCTTGGAATCCAAAGGACCCACTCCACTCCTGTTTTCCCTTTTTTGGTGGTAGCGAGATGCTCCCCTCTTGCTTCTGAGATCATTCATTTTGTAACCTGCAAGATGGCCCAGTTGACCAATGCCCAAGCTAGAGTTCCAAGTTTTTGCAGTCAATCACTATTGATCCTGATAGAGATCACTCATAACTGAATCGAATGCTCTCTATTAGCACCTTTCCCCCACCTTCTCCTACCCAGACCCACCAGGAAAACGTCGTTTTGTGGGAGTTGCGAAGACTACGGCCAGAAGAGCCGTATTAAATAATTAATTGCACTGTGGAACTCATCTGTTTTCTGATTGTGGTGGTGGTTACACACACTGTTGTTGTTGCTAGGTGTCTGCAGGATTGATTAAGGACAGCTTGATTGGTTGCAGATCAAACCTCTGTTCCCCTGTGATTCATTGGCTGATTGGGGAAGTAGATCGCAAGGCCTTTCTTCTCTGTTCCTCTGTGATTCATTGGCTGATTTGGGGAAGTAGATCCAGAGGCCTTTCTCCTGACTTCTTACTCTGGAAGCTCTGCTGAAACCTTTTGCTATGATAACAACACCCCACCCCACCCCACTGGTGAGACAGGTGATGAGTGGGACATGAGGTGCATGGGACAGTAACTGTACCTTGTTCTCTCACATGGACGGCGAGAATTCTGCCCTTGAATCATATATGTGCATAAAGTTATAGCATACCTCCCCACAAACATAATCAACTTTACTGTATGTTAGATTACAAAAGGAAGCAAAAATTAAATATATATACACACTGATTTCTCATCATGATTGTTGAGAACATAAAATCATATTGCAATGAAAGTGTTATATCAGGGACTCCTGATGAGATAAAAATTAACTGCATTGGTTTTATTGACAAGTTAATGCATCAATATGACTACTAGATCTGGAATAAGGTGAAAGCCATAGAGCTTGGACTCAGCGGATATTGCTTTCTACTCTACGCAAGAGCAGGCACTGTTCCAGGTTATGTGTCCCTCATGGCTGTCACTCGGAGACTTAGCCTGTGGTCTCAGGCTGGAGCAGTTTCTGCTTGCTCTTTGCTTGGTGGTCAGACCCAATGTCATTGGCTTTATGAATCATGCAGGAGAGAAATCGACTGAACTTGTAGGAAGTGACTGACTGTGGACAGTTTAAAGGCATGTAAATGCAGGGTAAAACTATTTTGAAATTGGATATTGAATAAATTTTTAGATTATTGATATGAAGCCGCCTTCAGATAATCCTGTCCTGTTTACCTGGCTATCCTTTTATGTTGTTGTTATGTGCCGTGGAGTCGGTTCCGACTCATAGCGACCCTATACAGAGTTTCCGAGGCTATAAATCTTTACGGGAGCAGACCGCCTCATCTTTCTCCTGTGGAGCGGCTGGTAGTTTCAAACTGCTGACCTTACCGCTCGTAGCCCGATTCGTAACCATTACGCTACCAGAGTTCCTTTTATACTGAGTACAAATTATGAGGCAGGCAATCAGCCAGGGAGATGGTTTGAGGCTGCATGTACCTCCTCCTTCTTGTGGTCTTAGACCACATCCTCAGGATTTTGAAGACGGAGCTCTTCCCCAGTCACATTTTGAGTGCCTTCCACCCCAAGGGACTCATCTTCTTGGCACTATATCTGACAATTTTCTGGTGCTGATCAGAAGTTTTCAGTGGCTTAAGTTTCAGAAGCAGTCTGCTTCTACTTTTTTTCTCAGCTGTCGTAGTCTGGAAACTCCACCGAAACCTGCTCATCATGACAAGCCTGGAGTATTTAAAACAGAGAGTTAGGCTTTTTTTGACTGGGTGGGGGTCACACCTCCAGGGGTAGAGTATCTGAACTACAGGGACTGTTTGAGAAAGGCTAACGTGGTTTTCCCCTGTGTGGAATACTCTGAGTGAGACAGAATATTTACACAACTGCGGGACCTTAGGGGGGCAATAGTGGGGAAAGGCACAGGTATGAAGACCTGAGGGGCTGCTCTGGCTCTCACAGAAGGGACGATGAGGCCCTAGGAAGTGTGCACTGATTTCTGGCCAGTTGCAGGTCCCTCCTGTTGTCACTGTATGCAGAGCTGGTTAAAAGCCCTCCTTGCTGCTCATCCTGCCTTGTTCTTCTGGGAGGCTCAAAACTGGACCTCCTGCTCCGGAACGGTGGTTCTCTGGCTCCCAGATGCCCTACTTGAGAGAATGAGAGCGTGTCTTTGAGGGGCATTGTACCATCTATCCTACCTAGACAGAATATCTGAATTGTGCCCCTAAACTAGTTGCTATCAAGTTTACTCCAACTCCAGAGTCAGTACAGAGCGGAGCTCCCTGGAGTTTTTAATCACTGATTTTCCGGAAGTAGATCACCAGACGTTTCTTTCACGGTGCCTCTGGATGGGCTTGAATCTCCAATCTTAACAGCTAGCAGCCGTGTGTGGTAACTGTTTGCACCTCCTACGGACTCCTCGACTGTGCCCAGGGTCTCCCTGATTTTTGCTTCTGGATGGCAAGGAACATTTTGTTAGTCTCTACCCCCAACCCCAGTGGTTCCTGTTGATTCAAGCCAGCTCTAAATGTACCCATAACTTCGGAATTATTCAGTTGTCTTAGGAGAGGAAAATCCCTTGTTTTTCATTTAAGAAATGAGTCCTGGCTAATGTGCCAGGTGGATAACTGGATCGCAAGTTCAGTTTAAGTCACAAGGTTGGTGGTTCAAACTCACCAGCCTCTCCTCAGAAACCTTCTGCAGGGTCGCTGTGAGTCGGAACCGACTAGATGGCATTTAACAACAATGCATGTGCCAGGTAATGTGCTCAGTCCCCCTTTACTTTGCCTTTTTATGTCAACCTGCCTTCCTCACATTCAGCAATGGGACCTTCATGAAGTACCACATTATTCTGAACCCCTCATTGGACATTCAAAAGCAGACACAATTGAGACGTCTACCCTATCTCATGATAATTACTGAATAATGTACTTCTTGTTGGCTTATGAAACAACTTCCTGGATTCCTGAGACTTAATTAAATCAGGAAATATGGACATATTCCCTCCTGAAGTCATTTATTCTGAATTTGCATTTTTTCTCTCATGTTTCTCGTTGAGTAAAACTTTTTGGTGGTTATTGGAAGTTGCTAGTTCTGTGACGGTGCAGATGGGAGCAGGTCTTTGAGACCCCATTTTAATACGTTTCCTATTTGATTGATGTGTGTTTCTGAGCCACCTGGATTTCTGTGGAAGGCCAATGAGTCAAGCTGCCCCACAGTGAGAGGATGGCCCTGCTGTTCCACTCCCTTCCCTGAGAGCAGAGCTGCTCTTCTGCTAAGCATCCTGATGAACTAGAGCTACTTTTGCAGCCCAATGGAAGGGTGGAATCATCCTCATCAACACTTAGTGCCAGTGACTCTGATGGCAGAGTTCACAGCGAGACTGCCATTCCCAAGGTCACCTCCTGTTACCACACACATGAAGTTGAATATGCAAATGCCAAATTTCCAAAGTGACACACTGCATAAAAGATATCCTCACAGACTTAGCCCCAAAGCTGCATCTCTGTGAGCTATTTTCCCTCTTGGAGTTCCACCGTGAGCTAGATCCTGAAGGCTTTAGAAACCTGTGGGTCGTTAATGAGTTTAGGAGCATCTGTCCATTCCATCTGTCGGTTGGTTGTGCTGTGGCATGCTGGCCTAATGCTGGAAGTTATGCCACTAATATTTTAAATACCAGTAGGATAAGCCCTAGTAGGTTTCAGTGGAACTTCCAGGCCAAGACAGGTTAGAAGGAAGGGCCAGGTGATCTGTTTTTGAAAATTACTTATGGATCGCAATCAAAACACTGTGCTGGCCAATGAGACCCCTAGGTGGGAAAGCACTCACAAACACAGCGACTACAACAGTGAGCGCAAACACACTAACAGTTGTGAAGACAGTACAGATGGGGCCTCCTTTATTCTGTACTATGTGGGTTCAAAGCCAACTCTATGACAATAACAACCAGGGCATTTGGAATATCGGCGTATTGTTTATCAGATGCTTCTTAGAAAGTTAATCTTGCAAAGTTATGATCATGGTTCGTTCTGAATTCTGATGAAATCCCAGTGAGCAGAACTATATAATCCTTATGGATTTGTCTTCCTTTTTTCTTTTTTTCTTTTTTCTTTTTTAGTGTTGTATTGTGAATTGGGTGAAGGTTTACAGAGCAGATCAGTTTTCCATTCAGGAATTCATACACATTTTGTCTCATGTCACTGATTGAAATTTCCACAAGCCTTGCGTTTTCTGTCTCCACGCCTTCTTTCTAACCCCTCTGAATTTAGCCTATAGGAAAATACTGCCATTTTGGTATCAAATTGTTGACGATTCTTAGGTCTATGTTTCTTCTTAGTGCTGTTATTCCTCTTTAAAACCTATCTGCCATTGCTTTCTTTCTGTTCACTTACAGAAGTTATGTGGGGGCAGTGATCTGAATGCATCTATTGCATCCCAACACTTTGAAGAAGAGTCTGTAAGTGAGATTCCTTAAAAATGTACACTAAAGTAAATACTATCAATATTTCCTGTCCTGTGTTTGGTTTTGTACTTACATGCCTCTTATTTCAAAAGAAAGCTGGACTGTATCCACCCACAAAAAACAGACCTTACAAATGATAACTGGGACAGATTAATTCAATGTCTATTGATTTTCAGACTGGGATAGATTTTTCTAAAAATACACAGCTGGGATGAAATTGAGTGAAAGAGTCAAGGAGACAAAGCCATTTTGAAGTGCTTTGAAATACAGGCAGAGGAACTTCCAAAAGAAGAAGACAGGCAAGGGGACTCGACTACACAAAATCGATTAATTGAATGTCAAATAAGTGAATAATAAATTATTTTACCCATCCTTTCTCTTTGAGGAAAGATGAACATTTGAGCTGGTTCAAAATTTGAACTGGATTAATTAATAATTATTCAGAAGTAGATTCAAATTTGCTATTATGGCTTGTAGGAATTGATGTATTCCCAGAGGGGCTAGTGAAGTAAACTGGGGGAAAAGAGATGGTGGGGGACAGATGGGAGATAGCAGTGATGGGGTTAGAGGATGGAATAGAAATATGGAGACGATAGCAGAGCACTGGATGCAGGCATAGTATGTGCCATGGGGTTCCAGGCCATGAGCAGGACTTAGTAAGTGAGCAGTCGAGTGGTTGTAAGTGAAATGTTTTTACTACATCTGAAGGAGGTCTATCAGAGGGGTTGTCAGGTAGCAGGGAGAAGAATTAGGAGGTGGAGCTTGGAAAGCTTTAGCCACTTATTCTTGGGAGCTAGCCTAGCCTCAGGCATGCCATTTCCTGCCTTGAGCACCACCCTGAGTCAGATAAGAAAGGTTCACGCAGCCTGCAGTAAATAAAGGAGTTCAAGAATGGCTCAGATGATGATTTACTACTTCTCTGATTCTTCCTGGAAAATTAATCTGGCAAAGACATGATCATGATTGCCTATGAATTCTGATAAAATCCCTCTGGGAAGAACTGTGAGTAACATGTTAATAAACTAGTAGAACCAAATTATCAAAGTGTATTGAAGTTACAAATGACACATGAAGATTTGTCATTGAATGACCTCCCCCTTTCTCCCCACCTGAAATGTGTATAAAATTCTCTTGTTTTAGCCCAATACTTGCTAACCTAACTGGCTTCTTATTCTGGACAGAGTCTCGGGGAAGCTGGCGATGGCTTGAGTAACCTCCCCAGCCCTTTTGCCTACCTGCTGACCATACACCTGAAGGAAGGCCGGAGCCTCGTCATCCGAGACCGCTGCGGTAAGAAAGGACAGTGTCTGCTACACAATAGTCTGAAAATCTCATTTATTTTCGTTGTTGTTTTAATTTTTTTTCTTATGAATTGAGTAAAGGCTTACAGAGCGGATCATCAGTTCTACATTTAACGACTCATACTTTTTGTTCATCTTGATGATTGTAATCTTCTCCACATAACGGCAGCTTTCCTGCTTCCTCCCTGTGGTTTTATTTCCAGTCCACCAACCTTCCCATCTCTTCTCAGTTTTGTCCTTATGTAGATCCTGCCCTTTTGATCTTGAATACGTGACCATTCTGTGGTGAACATTGTTGTTGTCAGGTGCCATCGAGTCAGAACCGACTCAAAGCGACCCCATGCACAGCAGAACGAAACAACGTCCAATCCTGGGCCAACCTCACTACCGCTACCACACTTGATACCATCAATGATACCCCCTGGCCGATCCATCTCGTTGGGAGTCTTCCTCTTTTTCTCTGACCCTCCACCTTACCCAGCATGACACCCTTCTCCAGCGACTGTTCCCTTCTGACAATATGTCCAAAGTATTAGAAACGGAGCTTAGCCATCCTGGCCTCCAAGGAGCACTCAGGCTGCACTTCTTCTAAAAACAGATCTATTGGTTCTTTTGGCAGTCCATGCCACTTTCAGTATTCTCCACAACTCAAAGGCATCAATTCTTCTACGGTCTTCCTTATTCACTGTCCAGCTTTCGCATCCATATGAGGTTATTGAAAACAACATGGCCTGGGTCAGGCGCACCTTAGTCCTCAAGCTGACATCTCTGCTCTTCAATACTTTAAAAAGTTCCTGTGCAGCAGATTTACCCAATGCAATTCGTCGTCTGATCCCTTGACTGCTGCTTCCGCGAGTGTTGATAGTTGATCCAAGAAGAATGAAGTCCTTGACAACTTCAATCTTTTCTCCGTTGATAAGAATGTTGTTTATTGGTCCAGTGGTGAGGATTTTTGTTTTCCTGACATTGAGATGCAATGCATACCTAAAGCTGTGCTCTTTGATCTTCATCAGTAAATGTTTTAAGTCCTCTTCGCTTTCAGCAAGCAAGGTTGTATCATCTGCATATTCCCTCATATCTTTCACGTGGCTAAAAGTTGGGCCACAGAGTGACTTTTCTTATAGACCTGAAGAGGAGCCAAGGGCCAAAGACTTGGTAATTCCTCCAGTCTCTTTTTAACCAGTAAGGCTGGTATTTTTACAGTTTTGAACTTTGCTCCACATTTTCTTCCACTCTATCTGGGACTTTCTAATGTGATTGCTTTCAGGGCAGTCGAAAACCTCTTTCTGAAATCCGTATCCATTGTTTGGTGGTGGTGGTGGTTATGTGCCATGGAGTCGATTCCGACTCTTAGTGACCCTGTACAGGGTTTCCAAGGTGGCAAATCTTTTGGGGAGCAGAAAATCTCCTCTTTCTCCTGTGGAACGGCTGGTAGTTTGGAACTGCTGACCTTGCGGTTTGCATCCTGATTCATAAGCACTATACTACCAGAGATCCTTATTGTAAGCTAAATTTATTCATCTTAACCAAATATACATCAAACAGAGCTCAAACCTAAGCCTCTCTATGTGTAAAGGAGCTTGCAGCATATTCTTGAAATACACTGACCTAAATAAATATACTAAATCAAACTGAAATGAACTGTCCATTTCTGTTTCAAAATTAATAATATTTGTCAAATAAGTTGTTTTAGAATGAAATAAGATAACAAAGAAAACTCTGTGCTTGACACATAGCAGCTACTCACAGACATGCTCCCTTGATCCTTGATTTACTGCAGCCCTTTAAATGGCTGTGAATAGGTAGTTCGTGGATCCATACTTCCTTAATGGAATCAAAGCAAGCGTGGGAGTGGATGGACATACCCTTCAGACCACGCTCCTTCCCTATTCTAAACCCCCATTGGAATCCTGCAAGAAGACATTGGTTCTCTGTTTGGGATTGTTTTGCTCACTTTCTGCATGTGTCTGTGTATCTGTATTTGTCTGTAAGGGAGGCTAGTGGCACCCGTTCATGTGTTCTTATTCCTCCTTTCTCAGCAGTATAAATTAAGCTGTGATGAACATCATTGTGCATTCTTCCGTGTACAAATAAGAATACACCTTCAATGAAAACTTACATGTGTTTAAGAGTTGGATGTGGAGTCTGATTGTTTGGGTTCAAATCCTGACTTCTCCACTTAATCCTGTTTTAGTTTTTTAAAGTTTTTATTGTGAATTGAGTGATAGTTTTCATGGGAGAACATCAGTTTTATACTCATCCTATCGTATTTTGTTTCATTGCAATGATTACAATCCCCTCCATGCATCATCAACAGTATTTGCTTCTGTTCCTACTGTTTGTTTGTTTGTTTGTTTGTTTGTTTTGTAATGTACAGGAATAAAATGTAATATAAGGATTATATAGTAATTTAAACAACCAAAGTACACACTCTGCAAGCCTGCCTTTGGCGGCCAGCACTCAGTCCCTCTCTTTCCATAAGTGCAGAGTCCTCAGCTACTCCCTCTCTCCATGTCTCCATCTCTGGTGTTGCTGCTTCTCTGGATAGTGTCCCACATTCTGCTGGCTCTCTTCTCTCTTGATATTCCCAGGGTCCTGTGTTTCTGGACTCTGAGATTTTAATCCTGTTTTATATAAGCAAATTTCCTTGACCCCTTTGTGCCTTCAGTTCCTCACTTGTGAAGCAATGTTAGTAATATTAACCTACCTTATGTGCTATTAAGGAGCTCTTGTAGTGTAGTGGTTATGAATCAGGCTGCAAACAGCAAGGTCAGCAGTTCAAAACTACCAGCTCCCATAAAGATTTACAGCCCCGTAAACCCTGCATAGATAGGGTCACTATGAGTCGGAACTGACTCCACGACACATAACAACAACAACAACAACGTATGCTATTAGGAGTCCTGGTGTGCTGCCATAGGATAAGCACTCGACCTCAAGGTTGGTTTGAACCACAGAGTTGGCAGTTCAAGCTCACCAGCTGCTCCCTGCAAACCCTATACAGGGTTGCTATGAGTCAGAACCGACTCGAGGACACTTAACAGCAACAGCATGCACTTCTAGGAGTCCTGGCGTGGCACTGTAGGATAACTACTGGACTGCTAATGACAAGGTCAGCAGTTCAAACACACCAGCTGCTCCTTGGAAACCCTATATATGGTCACTATGAGTCAGAACTAATTTAACGACACAACAACATATACTATTAAGAAATTTAAATGTATTAATTGATAAAGAGTTTAAAAACAGCATTGAACTCTTTGCACTCAATAAACGTTTGACTGGTGTTAGAAGTTACTACAAAACCTAGAAGAATACTTACAAGATCCTAGAGATGTAAGCTTTTATATTGAGGAGGTTCTGGCAAATTGTTCTTCAAAATGTACAAATGTCCTCTCCTAAAATATGGTTATCTGGCCTCTACCTCCTTATCCTGGTGTAGCACTGTAGGAAAAACACTGGACTGCTAACCACAAAGTTGGTGGTTCAAACTCACTAGTTGTTCCTTGGAAACTCTATACAGAGTGGCTCTGAGTCGGAATTGAGTCGATGGCACTTCACAATAACAAACACTACTTCCTTGTCAACAGTGGATTTTCCCTTACATAACTCTTCTTAGTTTTTGACAATCTCATAAATTAAGTATCAAATTTCCTTTGTTTAAATTTGTACATCTCAGAAAACTATAAGGAACTCTGGTAGTGTAGGGGTTAAGAGTTGGG